CACAGGAAAGGAGCATTTTTACCCAAAATGCAATAGTTTTAAAATCTTTGTAGATGTCTAGACAATGTTACAAGTAAAAGATAAAAACGCTGATATTTTTCCTTTAAAATATAAGATAGGTTTTGCACTTTTTTTACATTATACAACATAAAGCATGTGACCTGAAGGAGAATACCCCTTTTGACTACAGGGTCATGGTGACTATATTGTTGTAGTGGATTTCCAAATGATGTGTAAGGAAAAATATACAGTCTCTTAACTGCAATTAACTGTTTGAATTGTATATCCTTTGCTCCTGATTATTTTGCATAAATTTATACTATATATATAAGTTAGCATTATGATAGCACTTTTATACCGTCTAATGTTTAAATGACCGCATGCTTCTCATTTTAGAAACAAATTTTGAATCTGTGTAAAGGAAACGTTTACAGTGTGTCCAAAAGCCCAAAACGGTTCCAGAGATTTGTCTGATAAACCTGAAAAAGCAAGTCAAGATATCACAAGCAAAATAGATGGTAGGCTTAATATTATTACACATAGAACTGGAACTAATTAAAAAGAAATACCTTTAGAATGTTAATATACACAAAAGTAAAACAAAACGACATAAAGATTGCAACTTTTGATCATCCAAAATTACTTGATATGAACCATAAATACTTTCTTCCTTTGTGGAAATATTTTAAGACTTTTTGTGAAGATTGCATCAGCAATTAATTTAAATGTTTACCTTGTATGCATGTAATAGTGATATTGAAACAAGTTATTCCTATTAAGACATAATTTCAGAAAATCAACATGACAGAGAAATATATATTGAAGAATTTCAAGAAGGAACAACATGTCGTAAAGCTCTGATCGTCTCAGGAGAGTTGGCAGAGAAACCTGAAGAAACAAGTCAAGATATCACAGGCCAAAAACATGGTATGCAAGTGTTTAATATATACAACTGGAACAGATATAAAGGATATACCTTTTGGATAATAATATATACAAAGTAACTGAAAATAAATTTACAACGTTTGATTATCGAAAATGAATTGATATGAACAAAATATCTACTCAATTTGTGTCAATAGTTTCACGCTTGTGAAAGTAGCATCAGTATCTCTTTAATTATCTTATATTCAGGTCAAAGTTTCCCTACACCCCTTTGAACCAATATATTTATTTTAAACAGTATGATGTGAACTTGTTTCTTTAATCTAAAATAAGGATTTATCATTTTCGTGATTTCCCCATGCTTCTTCAGATTTCTTATATTTAAACTGCTGCAAACGTGATGTTTGAAATCATACGAAATTGATTTAACCGTCGTCAGTATGTTCGTACATAGTTATTTGATTCGCGTAACTATAATGTAATACTTTGTTTTACTTTAGATGTTTTTTAAAATTTCTTCAGCAAGAGTGCAACAAATAATTATTTAAATTTGCGCTTGATATACTCTATATACCAACCATGTAACCATGTTTCTGATCAAAAGATTCTATTGCCCCCCTCCCCCGCCACTGGAAACGAACAGTTTAGCCCTAGCGTTATTAGTTAAGCAAATGTTTGCAGTGATTTACTAGGTAACGCTTCATGCCAAAGGTGTACATTTTGAGCTTTATATTGTAGTTTTTAACATAAAAATTTGATAGAATGTTTTTATTACCAAGAAAACAAAATGCATGTGACTCCCTTGGCAGCGCAAATTTTGACCTCAAGGATATGATTACTTAACTTTTAGTAGAAGACTTAACCTTTAATAGTTTAAAAATAAGACTATTTAAGATTATTTAAGTGATTTCATCAAACTAAGTAGCCCTTATGTTGGGTCCATTTTTACCCAAGGTTCACGAGGCAGGTCTATATTGAGATAAAACATGCTGAATAGTTTAGCTCTATGCATCGCTGTTCAATTTCACAATATTAGGCTTAAACGTTTTCTCCTATTTAAATCAAGTAATCCCAGTGCTAGGGCTGATATTTACAAAAAGGTCCATGATAAATTTTAGTTTTGTTTATGTCCACAGAACAATCTTTCACGTCAAAGCTTTTGAAATTCAATTATCACTTGGCCGAAGCAAATGCTAACTCTAGTGTTGTAATGAAGTTTTAAAAGGGCTATAGTAAATTGCTTCTTGCCAAATATATTAGCTGTATGAATAGTTGTTTCACACGATATGATTACAATGCATGTTTGCTATTAAAGTCTATATAGATAAATTTACCCCAAGAACGGGACCAATATTGGCCAAAAGGGCATAAATAATATCAATTTTTAAATTACAGATAATGCAATGCAACGTGCCAACTATTTTATGAATTCGGCACTTAAGTTAAAATGATACACCTATGTGTGTGTTTTGTATAATTATTATAATGTATTTTTTATTAAACCAAGCAATCTACAGTGACTTTATGTTTGTATATTCCATATTCATTTTGCGGCCCACTTTCATACATATATCTTTATGAGAAGTTTATATACCTATCTGTTTATTATGTTTTTCATATAACTATGCTTTTAAATCAGTTTCATATGCTGATACCGTTAATTGTAGTAATTAAAGCCTCAACTTGTAGCTGAATTTTACTTTTGGTGATTACTGTTTTGTACATTTACTTTCATCTTATTTAAAAAGCTTTTATAATATTGCTGATATTAATTGTAAACGAGATATTACTATTTTTCAAAGACATAGATGAAAAGAAAACAACGACATACAGGGGAGAATATGATTTTTCCGATGAATTGCCTGATAAGATATCAAATAGGGACAAGATGCACCAAAGGAATAGAAGCCGCTCTTCAAAGGATCCAAGTGAGAACCGAAATTGTGACTTTACTGGTATTATTATATTTTAAGAACATTTATTTCACATTTTCCTTCAATGGTAATGTCCTCGATTGAAGAAAAAGAAAACTCAGATTTCAACGTTACCGTTAAATTTATGAATTGTCATATTTTCAGATCAGTTGCTTTACTGGTTGTTAATTGAATACAGACGGAATGTTGAAAATTGACATTAAATCATGTAACATCAGTTGGAAAATTATATTAAAGATTTGTTTCTCTAAATAAAACGCATAATCTAAATTTTAAGTTCTTTTTTAACAATAACAGTTGAAGTATATTTTAATAAATATTATATATTGATCAGGAAACGTTTGCATTAAGATGCATTTTCGGCATTTTCATGTTCAATATAGTCGCTGCTTTGTTCGTCCGTCCGGTCGTCCGTCCGTCCGCTAATCTTGTCCTGGACAGAACTCTGTTACAACATGAGGTATAAACATGAAACTTTGTAGGTACACATAGCTCATTAGATAGCTGTGCAATGCTCAACAACGTGACTCCTGCTTGCCTAATTTTAGAGTTACTGCCATTTGTTCATTTTACATTTTGAACTTTGTCCTGGACAAAACTCTAAAATTATAAGAGATCACAACATAAAGCTTTGTAAGTGGACAGACCTGATTAGGTAAAAGTGTAGTGCAAAAGAAACATAATTTTACCTTACCTAATTTTTAAGTTATTGCTCTTTTGTTCATTTTTACACTTTGAACTTTTGTCAAGGTACAGAAATATTCACTTTTTAGGGGAAAAGATGTGTAAGCGGCCGGATAGCTCTGCCGGTAAAGCCGCGGTACGATATTCCGAGGGCCCCGGGTTCGAGTCCCGGTCAGGCTGCATATTCCTCACACCACGTGACATTTGGCGCCCAAAGTTTGGCCGTGACAGAATATAGCTCAGAGTTTAATTCACATTGCTGTGTAACTCTGTGAATAAAGTTTGTTGATGGATTTCAATAAACTAGTAGCAGAGGAGTATGTCACGGTTCAGAACAATTCTCTTTGTAGAGGAGAAGATGTGTAATCGGCCGGATAGCTCAGTCGGTAGATCCGCGGTACGTAATTCCGAGGGTCCCGGACTTGAGTCCCGGTCAGGCTTCACATTTTTCTAAACACGTAACATTTGGCGCGCAACGAGGGGCAGTGACAGAATATAGCTCAGAGTTTAAATTCCAGGACGAATTTTAATAAACTAGTAGCACGGTTCAGAACTGTTCTCTATTTAGAGATGAAAATGTTTGAGCGGCCGGATAGTTCAGTCGGTAGATCCGCGGTACGGTATTCCGAGAGACCCAGGTTCGAGTTCCGGTCAGGCTTCACAATTTTCTCACTGTGTGACACGTTGTAGGTAGATATATCTCATTAAGTAGAAGTGCAGGGTAAAAGAACCGTAACCGTGCCTTGCCTGATTTTGGAGTTATTGCCTTTTGTCCATTTTTACACTTCGAACATTGTCTAGGACACTAGTCTGAAAGTATAAAAAATATCAACAAGACACAACAAGGTTGTATTGCACATGAGCCAAACCTCTGCCTTGCATAATTTTGAAATTATTGCCCTTTGTTTATATTTACATTTTGAACACAGTCCGGAACATAACTCTGACACTATAAGAGATATGAACAAGATACTTTATAGATATAGATCAGCAGTGCACAGAACAGTAAATAAACACTGTCTTGCCTAAGTTTGGAATTATTGCAAATTGAAATTTGTCCGGGACATAACACTGAAACAACAAGAGATACTTCTCTGTGTCAAAATCCTATCCGAGGAGCAACACCCGGTTTAACCGGTTTTTGTTTTGCCTGAATTGAATTAAAATGGTTTACCGTATTGTATTGAATTATTCTATCTAGTACAAAAGAAATGTGTATCTTAATTTATTAATGTGTCAAATTTCAGACTATGTTGTCTTTAATGGGAGACATTCTAACTTTGATTCTGAAAAAAAAAACAATAGAGGATAACGCCTAAAATAACAAAATTAAATTTATCGCTATATGCATCACGTGACAGTAAGTCTACTTCCAATTAAAATTATTATATAAAGCGAATCTTTAATTTGAAACTGTATTCAAGTTACTGTTTTCCGCTGGATATATACTATAAAATCGATTTAAAGCAGAACTTTTATATTGTTTTATAGACACGAGAAGACATGCTAAAAACGAAATTTTGCAAACTGATTTGAATGAAAATTATAGAGTCAATACGAAAACAAAGGACAAAACATCCGGTCATTCGACAGACACTCAAAACAAATGGAAAGATAAAGAAAATGGTACTTCAATTGATGTTTTTTGTCTTATAATTTGTAAGCAGCATAAGACAACTAAAACAAGTTCTAATTATTGGTAAACAAAACGTTTAACTGTCTGGTTGTTTCTTTCTTATTCGTTAATGTGATCGAGTTCTTCTAAATTCTTACATCGGAATAAAAGGAAAACCATTATGAAGCTTGAATATAACAGACAGCTCCTGTTTCATTACATTGCATTATTCCGAGACATACTTGACGTATTGTGTTCATTCAGTTACATTTATGAAATTTCGAAAGAAAAATAATATGACGCTGTTTTTTCACTTCCGTCTATCATATTAAGTTCTTGTTTCTGAGAAAAAAATGTCCTCAGTAGAAATATGCTGCTTATATTTAACTTGAACCGATTTAGCAATTGCTGCTTTTATAAGTATATGCACAAAAGTGAAAAAGTACGTTAAGATGCAAAATACTCTAATTAAAAATGCATTGATAAAAATAGAAAATAATATTATATATATTTTGTGAAAATATATCAAAGGGGGTTTGAAGCCTACATCAGCAAATATAAATACAATTATAACGTCGTATGCATTAAATTGATTGATTGTTGTTTTTGTGTGTTTTTTTTATTCTATCATAACAATTATATCTAATTTACAACGTGGAATGAGTTTTTCTCAGCTAAAATCTTGCATAGAAGAAATTAATGCGTGACTTTTCTAATTATTGTTATAATTCATTTTACCTCAACTGCCGCAAACATGATATCTGAAAATGTATACAATAATGTATTCTTTAATATTCATATATTCATTTATATTTCTATATATAAATTTTAATATGCCAGCATACAAAAAGGTTTATAAATAATAATAAAAATAGAACATTCTGTTTTTGGTATTTAATGTATACAGGGCATTTAGATTGATTGGTATTTATTATTCCTTCATATATAATCTTTATTTTTTATAAGTCAGCTTGCCGAAAAAACTATATGTAATTATGAAACTAAAAATATTTAACAGAAATATAAAACAATATGTTCGCATAATTAAACAATAGCTCTTTGCTACCGCATGATGTTTTAAATGACCTTCCTTTATTTTAGATACAAATATTGAATTTGTGTAAAGGACACATAATGTCAGGTGAAAACAAATAAGTGGTCAATGATTATTCATCTTTCGAATAAGAAGCTTCAAAAATGAACTATGATTTCAATAATGTTTTATATCCTTAGTTGGTTTAATGACTTATACTTTGAGCACAATTACTTATTATCTTAACTTTAATTTCATGTACATAAAATATGTAATGTTGTACATAAAATATGTTATGTTGCTAATTTTACTTGTAACCAAATATTTCTATTTGTTGAAGATATCGATGATGAAAACAAAACAATGACATACGGAGGAGAATATGACTTCTCCGATGAATCTTCTGATAGCATATCTAAGAGAGACAAGATAACACGAAGAAACACAAGACATTCTTCAAAGATGCCAAAAGCGGACAAATGTGATACCAGCGGTATTGTTATTTTTATTTACATAACACATATTTCATTTGTTTAAAAAGGTACCGAAATATTGTAGACTGAAACAAAATCTAGAATCACGATTGTGAATTTTGAACACATGATGCTGATGTTTCCTAATTCAAAGTTTTACCACTTCATAAAATAATTGTTTATTCTGCTAAAAGCGTGAATGGGTATGAAAAGTAGCCTGGAGTTACCACTACCATCCATAAACATGAACCATTACTCTGCCTTGCCTAATTTTGAAGTTATTGCCATTTGTTCATATTTACATTTTGAACATTGTCCGGGACATAAATCTGAAACTACAAGTGATATACTTGTCTCAGTCAAAACCTATCCGAAAAGCATCTGTTTCTTGTTTTCCCTAAATTGAATTTAAATGTTTATCGTATTGTTTTGTATTATTCTACCTAGTAAAAAGTCTGTCATTTTGTCAAATTGCAGACTAGCATGTTGTCTCTAGTGTGAAACATTCTTACTTTGATTCTTAAAAACAATATCAGATAGCGCCTAAAATAACAAAATTGATTTTATCGCTATATACATCACGTGACCGTAAGTGCACTTCCAATTAAAGTTATTAATTAAAACAGAGAGTTGATATGCGAACTGTATTTAAGTAACTGATTTCTGCTAGATCAAGCAGAACTTTTTAATTGTTTAATAGACACGAGAAGACATGCTAAAAATGAAAGTTTGCAAACTGATAGAAATTTGGAAGAAAATAATACAGTCTATACGAAGGACAAAACATCCGACCATTTGACAGATACAAAAAAGAAATGGAAAGATAAAGAAAAGGGTAACTCTAATAAATGTATTTCTGTCTTTTTAAAATTTGTTAGCAGACTAAAACAAATAAAACAAGCTATAATCATTGCTAAACAAAACTTTAAACAGACTGGTTGTTTCTTTCTTATTCTTTTAATAGATCGAGTTATTTTAAATACTTACATAAGAATAGAAAGAAAACCATGATAAAGCTTGTATATACCAAACAGTTCCCGTTTTATTTCCTTGCATTATTCCGACACACACTTGACGTATTGGGTGCATACAATTATATTTATGAAATTTCAAACAAAAATATTATGAGGCTGTATTTATACTTCCGTCTATCATATAAAATGTTTGTTTCTTAGACAAAATTGTCCTCGGTAAAAATATGATGATGATATTTAACTATAGCCGATATGGCAATTGCAGCTATTATAAGTACATACAATTTGTATATGTACAAAAGTGTAAGAGTATATTTAGATGACATTATTTTCTAATTAGAAATGCATTGATATACATATTAAGTGAAAATATCTAAGGGGTTGTGAAGCCTACATCAGCAAATATGAATACAATTATAACGTCGTATGCATTAAATTGATTGTTGTTGTTTTTTACATTGTTTTTTCCATTCCTTTCTTACACTTATATTAAGTTTTCAAAGTTGAATGAGTTCTTCTTAGCTAAAATCTTTCATAGAAGTGATTGTTTGCTTGACTTTTCTAATTATTGTTCAATTTCATATACCTTAAATGCTGCAAACATTATATCTGAAAATGTATACAAGAATGCGTTCTTTAATATATTCATATACCACTTATAGCTTCTGCATCTATTTCAATTTTGATATGCCAGCATGCAAAAGGTATATAAATAATAATAAAAATAGAACATTCTGATTTTGATATCTGAAAGTATACAGGGCCTTCAAATTGATTGGTATTTATTATTCCTTCATATCTTTTATAATTTTTATAAGTCAGCTTGCAGAAAAATATTATATGTAACGATGAAATAAAAAAGATGTTTTATTAAATTAAAGGTATTTTTTTTACCTTAGATGCATTATTCAATATGTTCGCATAATTAAACAATAGCTCTATGCTACCACATGGTGTTTTCAATGGCCGTCTCTCATTTTAGCTACAAATATTGAATGTGTGTAAAGGACACATACTGTCAGGTGAAAACAAATAAGTGGTCAATGATTATTCATCTTTCGAATGATTTCAATAATGTTTTATATCCTTAGTTGGTTTAATGACTTTAACTTTGAGCACAATTGCTTATTACCTTAACTTTAATTTCATGTACATACAAAATGTAATGTTGCTAATTTTACTTGTAACCAAATATTTCTATTTGTTGAAGATATCGACGATGAAAACAAAACAATGACATACGGAGGAGAATATGACTTCTCCGATGAATCTTCTGATAGCATATCTAAGAGAGACAAGATAACACGAAGGAACACAAGACATTCTTCAAAAATGCCAAAAGAGGACAAATGTAATACCAGCGGTATTGTTATTTTTATTTACATAACACATTTTTCATTTGTTTAAAAAGGTACCGAAATATTGTAGACTGAAACAAAATCTAGAATCACGAATGTGAATTTTGAACACATGATGCTGATGTTTCCTAATTCAAAGTTTTACCACTTCATAAAATAATTGTTTATTCTGCTAAAAGCGTGAATGGGTATGAAAAATAGCCTGCAGTTACCACTACCATCCATAAACATGAACCATAACTCTGCCTTGCCTAATTTTGAAGTTATTGCCATTTGTTCATATTTACATTTTGAACATAGTCCGGGACACAAATCTGAAACTACAAGTGATATACTCATCTCAGTCAAAACCTATCCGAAAAGCATCTGTTTCTTGTTTTCCCTGAATTGAATTTAAATGTTTATCGTATCGTTTTGTATTATTATACCTAGTAAAAAGAAATGTTTATCTTAGTCTGTCATTTTGTCAAATTGAAGACTAGCATGTTGTCTCTAATGTGAAACATTCTTACTTTGATTCTTAAAAACAATATCAGATAGCACCTAAAATAACAAAATTGATTTTATCGCTATATACATCACGTGACCGTAAGTGCACTTCCAATTAAAGTTATTATATAAAACAGAGAGTTGATATGCGAACTATATTTAAGTAACTGTTTTCTGCTAGATATGTAATTAATATCAAGCAGAACTTTTTAATTGTTTTATAGACACGAGAAGACATGCTAAAAATGAAAGTTTGCAAACTGATAGAAATTTGGAAGAAAATGATACAGTCCATACGAAGGACAAAACATCCGACCATTTGACAGATACAAAAAAGAAATGGAAAGATAAAGAAAAGGGTAACTTTGATAAATGTATTTCTGTCTTTTTATAATTTGTAAGCAGACAAAACAAACAAGACAAGCTATGACTATTGCTAAACAAAACGTTAAACTGGCTGGTTGTTTCTTTCGTATTCTTTTAAGTGATCGAGTTATTTTAAATACTTACATAAGAATAGAAAGAAAACCATGATGTAGTTTGTATATAACAAACAGTTCCCGTTTCATGTCATTGCATTATTCCGACACACACTTGACGTATTGGGTGCATACAATTATATTTATGAAATTTCGAAACAAAAATATTATGAGGCTGTATTTATACTTCCGTCTATCATATAATTTTTTGTTTCTTAGACAAAATTGTCCTCAGTAAAAATATGATGATGATATGTAACTATAGCCGATATGACAATTGCAGCTATTATTAGTACATACATTTGTATATGTACAAAATAGTAAGAGTACATTTAGATGACATTATTTTCTAATTAGAAATGCATTAATATACATATTTAGTGAAAATATCTGAGGGGTTGTGAAGTCTACATCAGCAAATATTAATACAATTATAACGTCATATGCATTAAATTGATTGTTGTTCTTTTTTACATTGTTTTTTTCCATTCCTGTCTTACACTTTTATCAAGTTTTCAAAGTTGAATGAATTTTTCTTACCTAAAATCTTTCATAGAAGTGATTGTTTGCTTGACTTTTCTAATTGTTGTTCAAATTCATTTTACCTTCTATGCTGCAAACATTATATCTGAAAATGTATACAAGAATGCGTTCTTTAATATATTCATATACCACTTATAGCTTCTGCATCTATTTCAATTTTGATATGCCAGCATGCAAAAGGTATTAAATAATAAAAAAATAGAACATTCTGATTTTGATATCTGAAAGTATACAGGGCTTCAAATTGATTGGTATTTGATTATTCCTTCATATTCTATTATAATTTTTATAAGTCAGCTTGCAAGAAAAAATATTCAATATGTAAACGATGAAATAAAAAATGTTTTATTAAGTTAAGGTATTTGTTTTACCTTTAGAATGCCATTATTCAATAATGTTCGCATTAAATTTAAACAATAGCTCTATGCTACCGCATGGTGTTTTCAATGGCCGTCTCTCATTTTACAGCTACAAATCATTGAACTGTGTGTAAAGGATCACATTACTGTCAGGTGTAAACAAATAAGTGGTCAATGAATTATTTTCATACTTTTCGAATGATTTCAATAAATGTTTTATATCCTTAGTTGGTTAACAATGACTTTAGACTTTGAGCACAATTGCTTATTACCTAATTAATTTCATGTACATACTAAATGTAATGTTGTCTGAAAATTTTACTTGTAACCAAAAATTTCTCTATTTGTTGAAGATATCGACGATGAAACAAAACCAATGACATACGGAGGAGAATAATGACTTCTCCGAATGAATCTTCTGATAGCATATCTAAGAGAGACAAGATAACACGAAGAACACAAGACATTCTTCAAAAATGCCAAAAGAGCGGACAAATGTAATACCAAACGTATTGGTTATTTTTATTTACATAACACATTTTTCAATTTGGTTTAAAAAAGTACCGAAATATTGTAGACTGAAACAAAATCTAGAATCACGAATGTGATTTTGAAACAGATGATGCTGAATGTTTCCTAATTCAAAGTTTACCACTTCATAAAATAATTGTTTATTCTGCTAAAAGCGTGAATGGGTATGAAAAGTAGCCTGCAGTTACCACTCACCACCCCATAAACATGAAACCATAAGCTCTGCTTGCCTAATTTTGAAGTTATTGCCATTTGTTCATATTTACATTTTGAACATTGTCCGGGACACAAATCTGAAACTACAAGTGATATACTCATCTCAGTCAAAACCTATCCGAAAAGCATCTGTTTCTTGTTTTCCCTGAATTGAATTTAAATGTTTATCGTATCGTTTTGTATTATTATACCTAGTAAAAAGAAATGTTTATCTTAGTCCGTCATTTTGTCAAATTTTGTCATTTTGTCATAATTAAACAATAGCTCTATGCTACCGCATGGTGTTTTCAATGGCCGTCTCTCATTTTAGATACAAATATTGAATTTGTGTAAAGGACACATAATGTCAGGTGAAAACAAATAAGTGGTCAATGATTATTCATCTTTCGATTAAAAAGTTTCAAAAATGAACTATGATTTCAATAATGTGTAATATCCTTAGTTGGTTTAATAACTTTTACTTTGAGCATAATTGCTATTACCTTAACTTTAATTTCATGTACATAAAATATGTAATGTTGCTAATTTTACTTGTAACCTTATATTTCTATTTGCTGAAGATATAGATGATGAAAACAAAACAATAACATACGGAGGAGAACATGACTTTTCCAATGAATCTTCTGATAGCATACCTAATAGAGACAAGATAAAACGAAGAAACACAAGACATTTTTCAAAGATGGCAAAAGAGGACCGGAAATGTGACACCAGCGGTATTGTTATTTATATTTAAAGAACACATTTTTCATTTGTTTAAAAAGGTACCGAAATATTGTAGATTGAAACAAAATCTAGAATCACGATTGTGAATCTTGAACACATGATGCTGATGTTTCCTAATTCAAAGTTTTACCACTTCATAAAATAATGTTTCATTCTGCTTAAAACGTGAAAGGATATGAAAAGTAGCCTGGAGTTACCACTACACTCCATTAACAGGTTAAGTCTCTACCAGTCGGAAAGACTTTTAATTTTGCCTTCTTCTGTTCTTGATGTTGTAGCTGTTGTCGTCTGGATAAAATATAAAGTCTACCTACATTTAAAAAAGACTGCCCCACTTCTTCGGAAAAGTTAACGTCACTACAAATTTAAGTCAAATGTTAATATACGCACGAAGTCTTAGTAAATAGAAATATCAGCTAGATATACACGATATCATGCCTATAAATAAATATTCTTGAATAGAAAAGAAAGGGATGCTGCAGATATAAAATCTCCTACATTGGTAGAAATATCAGAAAAAAAATCATTAACGCGATACCAAAACAAAAGATATCACATCTGGTCATACGTTTGATCGTATGAAATACTAGAAAGATAAAGCAAGTAGTTATTTAGAGAGAGAAACTATGTTTTCTTTAATTCTAATCTCTTTCAAGGTAACAATTATATACAGTCATATAAAATGTAATAGATGTAAAATATTGAAATAAGATGTTAAAACTAAGTAATTATTTCCTGTTTAATTTTCTGTCCTTTCCATATATTTTATGTAGAACACAAGGGACTATCCACACTTGACAGATTTAGACGTACCTTCAATGAGATAAACAAAAATAATCCTGATATTCATACATAATATATCCCCGCTACACGCAAATTATAACAACAAAGCACTTTAAGATTAGCAAATATATTTCTAAGCAAACAAAGAAATGCGCATGCGACACAGTGTGTACATTGTGCCTTAAACGAAAATATAAATATACCTTAAGAAAGTCCAAAACGGCAAAATTGAAAATGTTGCTGATTAAGTGTGATTGAACCACTACATGGACGGCAGTTTGCACATGACTAACCATTAGTCATGTGCAAACTACCGTCCACACACCCTAGAACAGACCTAAGCCGAGTTCCCATTGAAATATAACAAGGATAAACATTTGAATTTAGAAACATCCACAGATTTGTCCAAACGACGGTCTTAATGGAACATCCAATGTGACACTTTCTTGCTATTCCATGACAAGTGGCGTAAAAACTATGTTCCCTAAGCGTCATTGGATTTGTTGGCAAAACACACTAAAAGTTTAAAAGTTTTGCGTTTGACTGCAATAAATGGTCATTCGCAATGGCACGCATTTAGTAAACAATTGTATTCTGATATCCTTAGAACTCCTATCATTAAAATGTTTCGGATGTGTCCTTAATAAGTGTGCCTAAAACATATAATTTTGTCTTTTGTTCTGTTGTTTAAGTGTTGTAATTTCGGAAATTATACGCATACAATAAAGGCATTTAATGTTTTTCAATTTCTTATATCATTTACTAGATTTTGGTGGACATTTACAATTACTGCACGGAAACTAATTTACTTTTTCTGAAGCTTAATTTATTTAGTAGGTAATTATTATTTTTCATTTCGGTGAAATAATTTCATTATCGAAAATTATCATTTAGTTTGAAGTTTGTTTTCAAAGTAAACCCATTTAAAGTTTGTCCGTCCAGGCAGCACACAATAGCAATTTGTATCAAACGCCTCAGCAGCGGAATTTTTTTATATCAAGCGTAATATTCTTATATCAGGACAACGACCTGTATCATTTTCAAGAGTGACCCAGCGGTCTGTTAAACGCCTGTGACATTTTTCCAAACCAGATACTTGTGTGGGATTACTTTTATCATATTGAATGCTTTGAAGAAGATTTTACGAATTATTGACAAATGTTTGTGACGGTTCCATTTTACTAACGTCTTTGCGACGACGTTGTTCGAATAAATATGCATTTAACTACAAACCTTTTAAATTTGATTTCACAACAATCGAACGTTTAAATGAAAACAAATTGCATAAAAGTTTTTTTACAAAATTTAAGCTTTGCATTTTGGACTTTATTGCAATCTATGAGCTGCATCGCTTTGGCGCTACCATGATTAATTTAGTCGTCCTAAAACATTTTTTGACATTACCATAAATAGTGTTTTAATAGTAAATATTATATTGGTCATTGAACTATACACATGTGTAAAATAACGATGAAATGAACAGTATTCGATTCAAAAGCAAATCTGGATCACACCTCATACATCAAACTGTAAGTTAAAATGGCTTGTAGTGTATTATTGTTTCATCATGTTTTTACTTTTGTTTCAAATTCTCAGTGTTACATTGTTAAATGTTGAAAATTAAGTACCACTCAAGCGGGCGTAGAGGATTACTTACTTGTTCATTATACCTTATGTAAGACTTAATCAAACTGATTTTGCAATTTCCGTGTAATTATGTTGTTATTTATGCTTCTGATCACATTTTCTACTGATAGTTGCCTAGCCAAATAATACCTGTATGTAGAAAATAACAATTATATTAACAACAAGATTGAAATTGATATACTTATGCATGATTCAGAATATATAAGATATGTCATGACAGCTGAATGAAAACACACATCATCAATGCAGATGCCTAGAACATTAACATATTGTAGAAAACTGTCGTGGTGAATTATAAAAATGTACACCATATCGGAAGATTCGGTTGATTTTTTTCTGTGTGCGATAAGTGCTTTAAATTTTTATATTTCTTTTTGTATTTTATACATCAAACTTAACAAGAAATGATGAAAAACCCAAAAACTAGTTTTTTTCAGGTTAACACGTGACATTACACCTAATTTTGGTGAAACATTGTTGTTTTTTGTCATGTTTTATTTTTTAAATTGACCTTTTACCCCATGATCATATTGCGAAAAATAGCCGCTTTCATTGAAAAGTCTCAAAAGAAAAGTTCAAACTATGAAAAATGCTGCAATACTGTTGAAACTTGGCACAAATGTTGACTAGACCATAGCCTCTGTAACAGCATGCTCAATCGTAAATTTTCTGTTACCATGGCAACGGGGAAACGTTTCACAATTGCTAAAAATCACTATTTTGCATTGTTTCTTTCAATCGAAACTGATTTCAAAGTGCTGCAACTTCTCAATGAATTGAGATAGAGTAAAAGGCTTTTCAACGTCGGCTAATAGTTATCCTTAGATCGACCTGAGGCCATGTTTAGCCTGTTCCATGTCCAAAATTTTCTTGGCGATGAGGGGGACTACCGCCCCCTTTAACACCCCCCAAACAGAAGGGGGCACATCCCCTTTCTGACAACCCTCTGATGTAACAATTGGATTGGGTCGGCGCCGGAAAAGTGGTCACTTTTTTATCAACATTCCTCAAACGAAAAACAGTTCTGTGGCCTAAATAGGGCATTTTTTCGCTGTTTGAGGCCTCAAAAAAGGGGGACAAAAATCCGTCGAAACACGTCTATAAGGATAAGGATAAGCTATTTTGTTATTATCTCTTTTTAACATAATATTTCAATTGTCGAGTATAAATGTTGAAAGGGGCATCACGAGATACAGAGAAGAATAAGATCCCTTTAATATATTATGTGATAACATTTCTAAAAGAGACATTGTTAAAAAATGAAACAAAATATATTCTTCAGAACAAACAAGCAAGAAACAAGATTTAACGGTAGTGTCTCTTTTAAGACAATTTCTTATAATTGTTCTAAATAATACCAAACTATTACATAATGTACAGATTGACAGAAACAGAGAACTTAGATCATTACTCAACGATATTGTTTTATTTTTAAGACATTTGCTAAACCGGTAATTATTTGAATGGCAACAGAGTTTGTTGGTAAAAGATTATGAAAAAATAGATGAAAGTATGATTTGTTGTTGATATTATAATATTTTCAATGTATCCAAAGTGTTTTTCCTTTCACATTGAAATTTGTAATACACCAATATATATATTATACATTGATCAAGAAACGTTTGTTTACACACATTGAACGCATCAAGATCACCATATTTGGCAATAGCGAGAAGACGTCACAGCACCATTTTTCCCTTGTAATCTTTATACATGTAAACCTGTACAGTAAACTCCGATTATAACAAACACATTGGGACATTCAAAATATGTTCCTTATATCAGGAGTTCTTTATTAACATATAGCGAATTAGTTCTTTGAATCAGGAGTTTTTATAGCAAACAGATTTACACATTAAGAACTGGTTGTTTGCCTTAAGAAAAAAAGGTCATTTATTTCTTTTTAGACACAATAACCGAGAGCGTACGTTTTGGAATTTGAAAATCCTTACTATTTCAATTTTAGTTTTACTCCCATTCTCAATTATAATATCATATTTCGTTTGTAAACTCAGTGTTTTTCGTTAAGAATAAACAATGCAAGATTTTTTTTTGATTTTTCCTTCCTTATATATTGAATATTTTCTATTGTAATTTAAGAGTGACCTTTACTTATGAAAGATTAAGATTTTTTTTTTTTCATTTCAACCAAGCGTTCTTTGTAGTTTTCAGTGAATTAGCAAGGAATAGCATGCGTGAATATGTTGAAAACCGATTATTAATGATCAAAATAATTTTACTCAAACAAAAATATGAAAGAAAAGAGATAATAGAGTAAAAGTTATAACCGTTTCGTCTTGGTGACAAGAACTCAAGCTAAAAATATCCTAAATTGAAACTATTACATACACAAATTCATTTTCACAGCTGTAGTGAAATACATACAACAATAAACAGTACATTCGGCGTGCCAATGAAAACGAAAGTTGAAAATGCGGGATCTATTTACGGATAGCTGATATTTTGGAGTTATAAAAGTGTAATTCTCTGCACTTTTAATTAATTTGGAACTACGAAATGTGTTTCTTATAAGCGCTAATTCCTTATAACCATGTTTGCTATAACCGTATATTTTATATTAAATAAAGAATGGCAAATTTCGGGCCAAAAATCGTTCCTGATAACCGGAAGTTCACTATAACTGCGTTCGCTATAAGTGAAACTTACTGTAATTGAGGCAGAGGTGTGTATATATGTTTGGGAGTACTTAGCACCGGATATTAATTGGCTTTTTGATCATCTGTTTTATTTTTTTCTAATAAACGGACATTGAAAGGTGTGAAACACATTTAAATCAGGCATCTATATAATTATAGACCAGAAAATTTAGACAATTAGGGTCCTTTGTCAGACGATTCTGTCCATTTATATAGGGAACTGGAAAGTTTTTTCTTGGAAGACTGGAACAAGGTCGGATAAGTCAGAGAGTGGTTAAAATTAGGGGGTCGCTCATGCAGTCTTGACGGTAAATACATATCTAATAAACACACTATCGAAACATTACTAAGCAGTGATCAACGTTTGCATTAAAATTTTTATACATACAATATATATACATAGTTGCAGGGCACTCTGCAATATCATATGAATGTCAAGTTCAAGTAATAGCGCCCATGCGATGTAATGCATTTCTGACGTCGGTTGACTGATTGCCTGCATACGTGATTGTACCCATTCCAAACGTAACCAAATATCAATGCGTAGGTACACTGGATCAGCAAACGTTCTCTTGTTATTCCCAGTTCATTCCCGGAAATAGGTCCAATAAGAAAGAAACGTACTTCTTTTAATTATTATCTTGTTTAGATAACACCAGTGTGGGAAATTTGGTGTTTTACCTTTAAGCGTCTCACACTTTTATTCCGGTTAATAAACTAGATGTACCAATGTTACATCCGTAGCAATAAGAAACTTTTCGCCCTTCGCGACGTATATTCATCAACTGCTAGAAATGTAAAAGACAATTGTAAAAGCCATTCTAAAAGAAAGGCAGACATCAGATCATAATTAAGCAAATAGCGTTTCTTTTCTATTTTCTGTCTTATATAGATCCGTTAACTTGTTACAAATAATTTCCATTTACTTAACATTGAATTCCTCCATCACATTCCGTTAACGAAGTTTTTGTAATATACTTAATTGATATGAATTTTATGGCGCTTGTCACTTCTGTGTATCATTCCTTTTATATGAACATGATAAAACAGCGAACTATTCATCAATTAGCAATGTCAATACAATTTCAAAAGATATCTTTGTAAAAAAAACTGTAATGATTGATTACAAAACCGTAACAATATAAAAAAGGGCGATAAGTTATGTTTACGTTTTACTTTTATCTCATTTAATAAATTAAATACTATGTTGCTGATATATTATTTAAACATGATTTTGTTATTTGCTGAAGACATCAGAAATAAGAAGAAAACAACGACATACAGAGAAGAGTATGATACCTCAAATGAAGCGTCTGATGACAAATCTAAGTGGGAAAAAATAAAAAGAAGACACAGAAGACGTTCTTTAGAGGTACCAAAGGAAAATCGCGATATAACGGGTATGGCATTTGCCTGGATTGTTTTAATGACACGAACATGTTGCATTTTAAAATCGAGATTTGGACTTTACTGACATCACTGACTTATATTGTGAGAATGGTTATATTTGGTTTTCGTTGAATTAATAAAGTTGACAAAAAGATCAGACGAAAGGCTTTTAAAAATACAAAATGTTTTCATAAAGTTTAAAAAAACACATATTTTTTGTTGATATAAAAAGATTGATAACAGGCTGCTTAGAATCTATCTAGAAATATTCATAGTTCTTTTCATTTCAAATAAGCCTAAGGAGGAGAAATTGGGTTTTTAAAAAAAAGTTCATTTGGTACGGTTCCTATGGTTTTGTCAGGCGAGGACTAACAACAGTTTATGATCTATTGGGTCTGCATTATAAATTTCAGAATTTGTAAATCCCAATATTGTGATGTGTATATATACTTATTGAACGTAAAATAAAACTTTATTGTTATACCTACACAGTCAGTTGTTACTGGTTACTGTACACTTGTTGGATGGTCCAGTTACTAATTAAACTTTTGTTTTTTAATGAAGACGTGGTAAGACATGCTACGAATGGATTTTCGCTGACTAGAGGGGATATAAAAAGCGATAATACAGACTGCTCAAAAATAAAGGACAACAATGCTGGCAATTTGTCAGATGATTATAAGAAAACGCAAAAGGATAAAGCAAATGGTATTTTATTACATTTTACATATTAAATATATATTTATCCGGTTTTTTCTTTGGATATTTCAGTTAAAGTTTCAGTATCTTATCCAAACGCCTGTCATACAGCAACGAAATTGTCATGCAATTCTTTTACACAAAAATATTATAGAAAGGTGATTATGAATCAAAAAAATTAACAGAATAAGTCGTAACATTCGTATCATTATGTAAGGTCTGAGATATTTAGTTAAGGTCATTGACTTAAAACCACTTGCACCTCATTGTTTGGTTCGAATTCCGACAGGGACTTTGTATTAAGGGACTCCCTGTATTATATGAGCTTTTTCTTACGGTCCCCTTGCAAGTCATATATGACAGTCTGGACTGTATTTGCTGGCACAATTTGTATAACAATTGTACTGTTGTAGAGTTAAAAATGAAATAATATATAAAATTTCCGGACAACCCTCGTATTGAAGTAACCTGTTATAAGAAATACTGAGTTAGCAAACATTCATCTTGGTATATATGTAGAATATTTTTGAGACAAACAAGTTTATACGTCCGTTTCTCCCGACAAACTAACTTATGCCGCAATATCTGTATCATTATTTTTTTCTGCTTAACGTTTGAGTTAGATAAATGTATTTATTATACAGGATATCTAGCCAAATATTATTTAACATAGGCACTTAGCATATCTGATGTAAATAAAAAGGAATACCTTTGAAACATTTTTTACGATTAATATTAAACCATTATGGTACAAAATAAACTTGAATTTGATCTTAAGTTTTTTATTAAGTCACATAAATAAATTTTGAATAATTCATTATTTTTTTCAAAATCTTGAGAAGTTAAGATGTGTTGTTTGGAAGAGATATATCACACATTTTATCCGCTGTTATTTTAATAATGCACGTCACACAATTGTTCTCTTCTCAAAATCCATAAACATTGATCGGTACATTTAAAAGTTACATTAATTGCCATTTTAATAAGCGTAACTGATAAACAATATCATGGAATTTAAACGTCCCTGTTGAATGAACAACCGTTCGAGTGTCAATCTGTTTGACACTTGCCGTCTGACCAATCCAGTTATTCAAAGGTAGTGTATAATACAAATTGTGTAATATTATGTAATACAGGGATAATAACATATTATCGTTAACACCCTTCTGTTTCAATTTAAATAACTGATGAAAATTGCCACAAATTACTATTTTGCGTTGATTTTTTCCATCAAAATTAATTGCAAAGTGCTGCAACTTCTTAATGGATTGAGATAGAGTCAAATGCTTTTCAGCGTTGGTTACACGTTACTTATGATCGATCTAGGGTCACTTTTAGCCTCTCACAAGTCCAAAATTTTCTTGGCGATGAAGGGGACTCCGCCCCCCTTCACACCCCTAAACAGAAGGGGGCACATCAAAAAAGGGGGTGAAAAAGGCGTTAAAAGGCGTATATGTCGCGTAATGAGTTAACAGAAAATGATGAAAATACTTGAAATGACCCAAAATCGTGTTTTTCTCTGTTTAAACATGGCCTAGCATCTAAATTTGAAGAAATATCGTCGTTTTGTAGAATGTGTTTTTTTCATGATCAGTAGATTACATATGCCAATACTATATGAACAGACTCCGTTACGTTTAGCATTCAACATTTAAAGCCTGGCCCGTTCGGAAGTTTCTCAAATAGTCAATTTGAGCTGTGGCATTCACATGTACCTGTTGCTTAAGAAAGTATGCTACTTCATTTGATTTAATTTTTAGCATGATTTCTATGAATAAATGAAACTTGTCAATTCAGATTGCATGTAACTGTAATTATTTTTCAACATATGCAAAGGAAGCTTAAGATTGTAATTTTTCATTCCTACATAACACCGAATGCATCATGTTTATATGTAGACTTCCAGAGTGAAATATAATTTTATCTTATATATGCGTTTAAGTTTTTTTTTCTAAAGACCTTTTTAGCGAAAATTGCCTCTTTTAAACAGAATCCATTGCCATGACAAAAAGGTATAATAGCTTTTTATTCATTACACTTCAAATGAATTAATGATATTAATAAGGTGAACGATACTTCGAAAAGAAATTGTCGAATTCTACTTAATCGATAAGAAATTATTTGGCACCTAAAATCTACCTTGCTGACTGTTTGTTGCAAAACAAAAATCATCTTTTTTAAATGAATAATGAACAAATCACACCCGATGGGTATTCTCTTTATTGATACTTTAGAGAATTTAATATTTAGTTCATCGTTTGTTGAAATATTGAGTTAATTCAGTGTAATAAAATCTTATCGCTCACAGTAATCACTAACACTGTTGCTGTGGGGGAATTGTTGGCATTCGTATTGATAAGAATGAATCCTTTTGTTTGTATATTTTGTTTTAAGCAGCGCTTTTGTAGACACAAATCGTCTAAAATCATCTTCTTTACTTGCGTCTGGTTTTCATCTTTCGATTAACGGGTCAAAACTATTCGTGAATATGCTAAATATGTTTAAATTTAAAATGTTTCATTTTGTTTAGTATACCCTGCATTGTAATATGTATTAAGCATAATCACTAAAAGAACCAATTTCTGCGGTATACTTATACCTGACAAAAATGTTATCTACTTGAAAACACTACCAATAACAATAAAATGATTACCAATTTCAATATCAAAATATCCATGTCATGTAATTACATCATGGTACAAACACATGTAAATACAATCATAATCAGTATTTTATATCCTTAAAGCCTGTATAAAAGATTGGTATTTATAAAAAATATATTAACCAACGGTTTAGCATTCAAGAATGCAAATACAAAATTAAATAAAATTCAAGTTGAGAAAGTGAAATTGTGCTTATTTTGTTTCTTATAAAATGATAAAATGAACATATAATGGGCATTATTTTTTTCAAAATCGTTACTAATTAAATTATGTGAATTTCTTTTCTTATTTCAGCTTGGATCAAATGTGTTGAAATGTTAGACGTAAGAGCCGCTGAACGACTCTTGCAAAACGATAATATACCAGACCAAGAGTCAGTTATATTAGCCTGTATTAAGTTTGGGAGAAAACATCAAATAGTGAAAGACATGTGTAAAAAAGTATGTACCTATATACAAAATCAGCAGCCAGAAAATATAAGATCTGTTTGGCCTTCTTATAGATACGTACAAAATGCTCCTTTTGACATGTACTCCGAAAATGATGTCGTTTTTGTTATAGTGACAAAATCAGAAACAAGCATAGATGTTGAAAAGATAAAGATGTATAAGACATATGTGCGCGCCTCATCTGAAATCAGCCAAGAAAGTAGGGCTGTAAATGAACATGAAACACGAGTAACACAGTATCGAGACAAAAACATTAAAAGAAAACGAAAAAAGATTGTTAAATATCTTGATGACAACATTGACAATTTGTTGTCTAAACATAGTAATATTACAACAGTTTCGGCAAGTTTGTTTAAATCGAGAAATTTTAAACAGGGGCATAAGCACTTCGAAGAAAACTTGTGTATTGTATTATATGTTCATGTAAAAGGTTACGTACCATTACACGAAGATCCATTTGATCGGAAAATAGATGAATATGACGTTGACGTACGTGAATGTGTTTTTACACCTCTAATGTGTGGTCCAAACGATTTTCATTCCATTCTTAAAATGGGACTAGAAATTGGAACATTGTTAACTAAACCCGGTACATCGGGCAATATTGGCACACTTGGTCATGTAGACCCTTTTGAACCGAGATATTTTGTTACCTGCGCACATGTTGTTATGAGCAGTGAGGAACTAATATCACTGTCAGAAAGCAGAATAGATGTTGAAATATATCAACCTATTCAGCATGAAAGCCGTAAAATATGTGGCCGTGCTATTCGTGCAGTTTACTTCCAGGAGACAGATGTAAATAGAGTAGGCGTTGAAGCTGCCCTTGTAGAAATTGTTGATAGGGGTTCAACAGGATTCGAGTTACCATATTCGCCTATATTAGAAGAACTGGGTAAAAGCGTTTGAACTAAATTTCTATTAGAAATAATTTCTGTTTGTATGTGTCCTGTAAAGTTGATTAACACAATGGTTGTTTATATTTAGTACAATAACACAGACTAAAAGGCTTCGATTATTGCATCCAAAAGCTTATTTTTTAAAAACAAACACACTAACAATGTCCATTTCAATATTATGTGTAAGGCAACAATAACAACATTAAAAAGGTTGAGGCAAAATGAAATTAAGAAAACAGGTCTTAGCTTATATTAAATTATAAACTAAAGTTGAATCGAGATAAATGACAATCAAAAAGATTTAGCAAAATTGCAACTAAGGCCCTGTCTACACCTATCCAAGTCTTGAATGCAAATACCATATTCTCTTGTATTGGATAGTGTAGACACCATACTTGAATGGTTTTTAAAGAGAAATTATGTGAAATCCATGAAGATAATTGCTTGCAAGAAAATTATAACAGGTTCTATTTTTCTACAAGTTTTTGGCTGTCAGGACACTGATAACACCAGTTTGACACAAAACATGTGCCCTAAAGTTTGATAGTGCTGTTATTTTTATTATTTTCTGACTTTTTGTTACTTTTTGTTGTTGATTCAGTGTACATGCCCTTTGAATTTCATTAAATTTTAACAATGTCTTGGTCAAAGGAACAAATCAATACAGTACGCTGATACACAGAAGAGCAAAAAAAATAAATTATAAATACATTGTTAAAAAAGAACTCTTTTTCAAGTAGAGTCAAAATGGATTTAAAATGATCCTGTTTGAGTGAATATCTTTCATCAAATAAAGAATTTGCATCAAAATAATTTTTGTCACTTTTTTCAATTCTTAAAAGAATGTACGCATTTCATTTACTCCATTGTTTTAGCTAATTGCATCATTTTCTGGCTTTTTACACATATTTTACAGAAACATGATAGTATTGCAAAGACAAAGGTATAAATCCTGGGCTATCTTAATGAGACATTTCAGTAAAATTTGTGCCTGTAAAAATGTTGAAAGGGCCATTTATTTAGCTTATCTAAATATGACATGTAAGAAACTTGAATAGGTGTAGACGCGGCTTTATGCTTATAAGAATTATTTGTGATTATGTCGAATCATTAAAATCTATATCATAATAAAACAAGGCATGTAAATTTGATTTATGATGTATCATATAGGAAATAAAACATGTGTTATATATCAATTTTGTCATTTTAAATGATTTCAGAATTGACAGGAAACTTGTCAGAAGTTCTACAGAGTGGTATATATAGGCCAAACTATGGTAAGGATCAAATTAAATTGATTAAATATGGCTGTGTAAGCAACGTGACTCAAGGAAAGTACACGTTTTTCAATCCAAGTATAACTTTAGAGACAAATGGAATAAGGTTACGAAACCAAATTACAATAATACACTCACATGATTTTGAACAATTTGCTGTCCAAGGTGACTCAGGAGCTGTAGTTTTTGAATTCATTGATGATAAATTGTATCCTACGTGTATGATAGAGGGAACAATGGGGGACGGTAGAATTGTAGCAACGCCTCTTATAAATGTTCTAGTAGCTCTCCATATTAGAAAACCAGAAGATGTGATAAAGTTATATAACAGTGAAAGCGATGATTTAGACATGGATAGTTCAGATACAGAAACATGTGTGTTCGATAACGATATGGAAATTGAGTAAAACAGAGTTACAGTCTTTGTAATTATTTACGGTACAACTTCATGAACTTGGGTTTAAGGATGTGGAGTCAAAATCCATATTTTCTTTTAATTTACTACACTATACAGTGAAACGTTTTACTATATCTTTATTTGTTTACAGTAATCTCCTCTTCACACTTCAATAAAATAATGTTCCGCATCATTACCCTCATTACTTATCCATCACCTATATTTCAAGAATTTTCTTCCCATTGAACTTTTTGCTTTAGACTATTTATACAATAGCTTCTTTGTGACTCATGTGATTGACTTCCACTCTAGAAAAGTTGTATTTTTTACCATTTATTCCATGCATGATGATTTATGTTATAATAGCACATACACTACTAAAATGTTCTTCCCATTCAAACATAATCATTTTATTTGACTCATTGGTGTTTCGTATTTTTCCAGACATCATTTGTAATCATCAAGTAGGCAATGTTCGTGAAATTAAAAGAAAAAAACGTTATCATTAAAAAATTTACAAAACGCCATAAAAATAAATGTTGTTATTCGGTTTGTCGTGCTTATTCACGACGGCAAATTCAAGTAAGAACTAAAGACTGTCTAAGCTCCTTTCACTGGCTCAATTTATACTTGACAGTATTAAATTTTGAATTGAAAAACATCCGCAGATATATCTTTCATCTTTGATTTAAATATGTCTCCTCTCAAACAAAGAAAATTGTCTAAAAATAACTTTTTTATCATGTTTTTCTTTTAGTTAACAAGAAAAAAAAATTTACTCTGAAACATCTGCCCCTGATGATAATCTAATTTAATAAACGACTATTTATACAATTTTTACATTGTATTCAAATTGTATAATCCTTGAAATTTTCATTATATAAATCATTTTTTCCCGTCATCTCATGTTATGTAATGCAAAATGACAATCTGTCAACATTCCAAAACCGTTCAGCCAATGTATAAGTAGTAATCTGGAAATTGTCTAAACTGTGCTTAGCAATTAGGTTTGCCATTCGGTTAACGGAAATATTAGTTTGGACCCAATAGACATCTATATGTCTGTTGACTGTTTTATTTATTTGTTTCATACTACGTATATCCGAAAATCAGGAATGTGAAAATACCTCAGGTAACGCCTAATATGTGCAATAAACGGCCGTAACGAGCATCATATTTATTAAACAGACAAACATATCTTTTAATTATCACATTTTATAAAAAGAATAAGCAGACATTTAATTTTGAACTTAATCAAAAAAGGAAAACATTTGCGTTTCAAAATCATCGACATGAGAATAACAACCTGACTACCGAAATTAATTCGCCAATGATTATAATTACAGTGAAATAGACACATGTATTAGATAACTGTTTGTTGTTGTTGTTGTTGTTTTTTTTTTTCGGTATACCCAAGCTATTTTCTAAACTTCTCATATTATATTATTCTAAAATAAGCATACATCATGTGTTTGGGCCATTTTCTATTAGGCTATGAAATATTTATGAATTATGCACCTATACAGCACATGCAACTTTATAAAAAGTGCCTCAAGTCTTATATGATACCAGTAGATCGACAATGTCTCGGTTATATCTAACATTAAAAACAATATTGAACTATAATTACACCAATTCATAACGTTAAGAATAAGCCATTAACGTAATAGTCAGGTTGTCATTCTTAACACTTTCCAGAGAATATTTGTATTGTGTGTCCAATAAATACACGTATAATGCATTAGCTGCCTTATACATTTATTTACTTATTTCAATTTAATTTGTTATACATTGTGTCTGTTTTACATACTGTGTTGTTTGTTAAGACCAGTATACGGCACAGATTCGGCGTAACTATGGCGATTGTTTCGTATAAATTGATTAATAAAGATACATTTCAATTTAATGTAAAATTAAACGTTATTGCATTTGTAATTAAGAATATTGTAAGTTCAGTTTTTATTTTAAAAGAATAAGATTTAAGATATTTTTTTATCTGGTAGCATTGAAGTACTCGTAACACTTGCCAAGGATACGCAGCAACGCCATATTCGAAATCAGGCTTTGATGGCTAACTTCGATGTCATGTGTACAAAAAAAAGGCTGAACTATTGGAATATAATAAACAGAATCTAATTTCAGATATTGTCAATTTTCCGTGATAATTTTGAAGACGCTTCTTGAACATTTGCAAACTGTCGTGTTCTACCTTACACTAAGTTATTTAGAGTATGAGGTTTTAGAAACTTTACACTTGATATATAAATTCAAAATATAAATGTAGTAGTGTACTAGAAAAAATCATTATATGAAACATTTTTTGCGTTTATTTTTCTGTAAAATAGAAGATTTTACAGAAACAAAAATAAACTTCTGTGAAAACGATAATCATTCATTTATATCTTACAAGGCAAGATACTAAAATATGCCGAATTTCCAGTATAATAAGCATTACTTAGCAATATTTCAACTTATTTTCATTTTTGTTTAATTCAATTTAATTTGACAAAGTTGAAGAAGAGTATTTGTACATTGGAAGTGAATTGCATTGGCTTTCTGAAATATTAATTTAGGTACACGTGTTTTCAATATGAAAAAGCGAAATATAAAATTGGTTGTTACAATTTAACTGCAGAAAATCATTCCTTTACAGTGTTTAGTGTATATATGATTTTAAGTGGTATCAGCTATCATATTTTGACTATGATTTCCTTTTTTGTCTATGAAAAACGTTTGTTACTTAGGGTTAACGTAGACATCTGAAATATATTTGATTCAATGACGAAAAAAAATGATATCAGCTTGTTATTTATTTATGTCATATTTATATCCTTTAGATTAGCATCATTGGAAACATTATTTACCACCCACTCACATACACATGTAAAATTGGACAATCACTGTAGGAAACGTCATAAGGTAAGGCTACATTCTATTGGATGAAGTTGTATGTTTACTGGCAGGATATACAAAAACTACGCAAGTGTTCATGTATATCTAAAATATGTAAAAATGTCAAAAATAACTGGCCATTAAATTAAAAAAATAACTGCTTGAGGTACTTCGTTTTGCCGAAATATGGAATTTTCTCGACAGTGTATTGGTGAAACAGTTCTTACATATTTTTAAACAAAGACTATCGATTGTTACTTACAAGACTGGCGTGCAAATGTATCTAGTAATGGTGTGCTCAGATATTTAGATTCATATGTAAAAGAACAGTTCTGTTATGAATTATATTTAGACAAGATTAATTGTAAATCATTAACAAGCGGTCCTACATGCGTTCGAGTGTCCTCTTACAGACTTTGAATTGAGTCCGGAAGGTATAGTCGAGGCCGTGTAGAAGGTCACGAAAGAACTTGTCAATTATGTGATACTAACGAGCTCGAAGACGAGTATCATTTTATTTTAAAATGCAGTGCTTATGAAAATCTACGTAGCCAATATATTTAGCATTATTGTTACTTGTGGCCTAGTATGGCCAAATTTATAGAATTTCTGCAATCTAAAAGCCATAACGTATTTACAAACTTATGTTATTATTTAAAAAGGCAAACATCAGACGAAATGATAACTCTAGAAATCTTCAAAAGTATTATGATGCTGTTTTGATTATATATACTGTGATGGTCTTTCTTTATATTATATAAATATTTTGTCAAACAAATTTGTTATATTTGTTCTCCGCTTAAATTTAGAACTCTTCATTATTCAGTTACAGATTGAAGTAATTTATAGATATTAATATATGATTGATTAATGGAGTTCAGTATAACTTATGTGATATATTGCATTGCATGTATTAAATTATATCAAATTGCTCAGTATTGTATTGATTTTTTTCTTTATGTGTGTTTTTTCCTATGTGTTAAAATATGTGACCTAAAATTATATTTCAAAATGCTTGTTATAACGATGTACCTATGTGTGTGTACAAGTTATGAAATAAACTCTGTTTTGTTCTATGTAAAAAGACGAAAATGAGAAAGTACAAATAGATTATGTAGGAATATATTTGTTTTCTTTAATTTAAACAATTTTCTTCTCATAATGTTTACAATTCTTGCCTTTTCTACTCCAAAATTACAAAATTTGTTAAAGATAATAGAGCTAATAAAGCTGTTTAATAAAGTAGTTTAATATAAAGTTACTTACAACTGATTGTGATAAAGACAAATTTGTTATTTTACACCCACCCACTTAGAAATACACATTATTCTAAAAAAAATACTATATTATGAAAACATTCAGCAGCATTTTTCTTATACAAGAAGTTTCTTTCCTGTTATATAAGACATGATAAAACAATTAATATTTTGTATATGTAAATTGCACGGAAAACATGGAAAATGAACAGGGCATCTTTAAATATTAGCATTTTTTTGTACATTTTCGTCACATGTTTTCTGCTTTTTACCATGAACAACACTTCTATATTAGTAATAAGTAATTAAATTTCATTCCTGACATCAATTTGATACAGGAATATAATAAAAGAACAAAGGCATAATTATGTTTTAACTGCTAAAAATTAAGCAATAAAGACTAACTGGTACTTTTCATATTTTTGGCGGCTATCTTGGACGCCATCTTGGATTTCTCTGTTCGCCAGCATTTATGTCAATCAATGCCGACAGATTTGGAAATTGTAAACATTTGGAAACATTTTGATATGTGACATGTCTTGTTTAAAAATGGGTGCGGGTAGCCCCTATAGATATGTTAGTTTTTTCGTTATTGTCACCCTACCATATCCGGAGTTCCTTATAAGCATTTAGCGAATTTGTTCCTTGTATCAGGAGTATTGATAATGAACAGATTTAGATATAACGAACTGATTGTTTACCATCGTCCACCATTTTGAAGAGCATTTGTTTAAGAAAAATTAGTCATTTATTGCCTTTTAGACATAATACCCGAGAGCGTACTTTTTAGAATTTGAAAATCCTTTGCTATTTCAATTTCAGTTGTTTTTGTTTTTTTCAATTTCTCATAAAATATCATATT